ATAGCTCTTTGGTGCATCAGTTCTCAGGTCAGTCGTCTCGTCTACTTTTCTTTCCCCATCTTGTTTAACCGCTGATATGTACCTCCAAATCCGATGGTTCTAAAGCTATCGACTTTGAAGTTTTCCAGCAAACTCCCTCGATGGCTCAACTTACCTGGCCGCTATTTCTCCATTTCTTACGCCAATTCTGTCCTATTGAATCCTGAAACCGACCCAAACCCCTTTTATGTTGACGATTTTGAAGCAAAGATTAAGTTTTTGAGGAATAACCTATACCCAGATAGCTTAATCCGGGTTTTGGATAAAACACAAGATTTGAACTCTGCTCTCAAGATTTTCAAATGGGCTGCCTTACAGAAACGCTTTAACCACACCGCTAATTCCTATTACCATATCATTTTGAAGCTGGGTTTGGCTGGAAATATTAAGGAAATGGACCATTTTTGTCTGAATTGGGCAAGAGATAAATGTGCAGGTACGGAGGAGGCTCTTGCTTTTTTGATTGATACATTCGTTAGACATTCTAGGCTAAATGAGGCGAGTCGGGTCCTTGTGCATATGACATTAGGTGGCTATAATCCCTCTGTTAATGTATTTAATGATTTATTGGGTGCTCTTGTTAAAGAAAAAAGAGATTTCCAACATGTATTGTTTGTTTACAAGGAGATGGTGAAAGCAGGAGTTTTACCCACTGTCGATACATTGAACTCTTTGTTGGAGGTTTTGTTTGAGACCAATAGGGTGGAGTCAGGTTTGGATCAGTTTAGGAGGATGAGAAAAAAGGGTTGTAGTCCTAATGGTAGGACCTTTGAGATTGTTATAAAAGGTCTTATTGTGAATGGAAGAGTTGATGAGGCAGTGCTCATTTTTCATGAAATGTTGGAGCTTGGGTGTCTGCCAGATTTGAGCTTCTATTCCTGCATTGTGCCATTGTTTTGTCAGGAGAACAGACTAGAACAGGGAATGCAGCTATTTAGGCTGATGAGAGCATCTAATTTAGTGCCAGATTCACTAATTTGCAGGAAATTGATTTGTTGTTTATGTATGAACCGTCATTTAGATGATGCAACTAATGTTCTTCAAGAGATGATAGAAATTGGTGAGATTCCTCCTGTCGATTCATTCGTGGATATAGTGAATGGATTTTGTGAAGGGGAAAAATATATTGAGGCAATACATTTCTTGGAGAATAACTGTGGTAACTTGACTTCTCCACATAAAGCATTGCTCGAAGGTTGCTGTAGGGCTGGTAAATTTTTACTGGGAAAAGATTTGCTTGAGAAGATGTCTGAAGGGGGCATAGCTGATTGTGATTCTTGGAATATTCTTATAAGATGGCTTTGTGAGAATGTAGGTATCAAGAAAGCTTATGAACTTCTTGGAAGAATGATTGTCCACTCATTAGTTCCTGATTGTGGCACATTTGCAGCGCTTGTTGTTGGTAATTGTAAATTGAACAAGTATGAGGATGCTTTAGAGCTATTTTATTACATTCATTCCAAATGCTGGGGTTTGGATTAATATGTTATTCTAGGTTAGTAGAAAGCCTTTGCAGGCTAGAAAAGATTACAGAGGCTGTTGAAGTATACTACTACATGTCTAAAAGTGGATGCCTCCTTGAAGCCACCACATTCAATATGTTGATCAAGGCTGCATGTGATGTAGGAAAGGTGGATGAAGCAATCAAGATGAGATCTTTGGCTTATTATTCTGGTACTTCTTGCACGAGTTTGACTTACACCACTATCATACTTGCCTTGCATAAATCAGAAAGGGCTAAAGATGTCTTGGTAATGGTTTCCCAAATGCTGATAGGGGGTTGTGCTATTAATGCAGAAGCATATTGCATCCTCATACGGAGTATGAGTACCCTGAATCGATTCAAGGAATGTGCTTTGTTTTTCAAGTTAATGCTTAATGAGGGCCTCATGCCTGATTCAGAGGCAATGCATGCTCTTTTGTCTTGTTTAGCTAACCATTCTCACTTGCATTTGCTGTCGAAAGATATTAATAAAATTATTTCTAGAATGGAAATTCCGGAATCAGCTATGTATAATCTACTGATTAATGGCCTTTGGAAAGAAGGTTGCAAGAGTGAGGCTTGTCTTCTGTTAGATTTGATGTTGGAAAAGGGTTGGGTCCCAGATGCTACAAATCATGCATTGTTGATTGGATCCAACGTCAAAGAGGTAACAAGTAGGGGATCAACAATGTATGAAAATTCAACGGAACAGGATAATGTTAGCAACATTCTTGCTGAGGGATTGGGGAAGTGATTGAAAGCTTGATATTCAATATGCTTTTTTGATTGTGCCATGTGTCCATGGTACATTCAGTCCCAACTCTAAATTTGCAGGTTGTGCCTTCATTCTCACCTGCAGGAGGACCAAAACTAAATCATGACCTAGTTTCATGGCTCTGATAGGCATTGTGTGACAGATCTGTCTTCAATGGCATTGTAATTGTGGTCATGCGAGGTTAGTTAGTCTTGAGTAGACATTATAATGTCCTTGCTTATGTCAAATGAACATACATATGTCAAAATCTTCAGAAGTGCTTAATATGTGCACGGTTGGGAGGAACAGATAACTATGTACATCCTGTTTTTACATCGAAAGAATAATATTTCTTTTAGATATTGGTTATCAGCAAGTAGGGAATTATGGTATCTAAAGTTCAGATTCTATATGAGATCATTTATTGATCCAGAAGAGCAGGACATATTTGGGGGAATATGTAAACCTGGGAGTTTGTAGGGAGCGGGACAAGTTGTTGAAGATCATAAGCCTTCAACCCTCCAACTGCTGGAAATTTACCCTCATTCCGCTCTCCTTTGCAGGTGACTGCTTCTATTTTGGCATGGCAATGTATTCAATCTGATATCAACTAGTACATTAACAAGTGAAAAGAGGCACTGCCCAATTTCCAACACTCAACTGGTAGCAGTTTCAACAACCATGTGAGATCTCTGTTCAAAGATATAGCACTCAGCATGGCATGACTACTGTGGCCAGATACCGTTGATTAGTTCCATTGCCGATGAAGATGGATGGAAGTTCTTTCCAGCTCCTTTCTTCGCAATGTCACCGGGGATATAGTTTTCCGTGATAGAAGACTAGAATGGAAGGCCAGTGCAGAATGAGCCTGAGTGAAAATTGAGTCATGAAATTGCAGAGCGACATTGGGCTGGGACTGCCCTCTATATGTGCATAATAGTCCCTTTTGCCTTGGGTTCTGGCCCATCATTGATTCCCTGCAACCACGCCCATGCTGCTGAAAAAGAGATTGCCGTTTTCATGCACTCTCTTCTAAAAGATTTTGTTTTGTTTTCTTTTTTTTTTCCCAAATAAACCGAGCTCCCAAACGGGCAACGCCCTGGTAAATAGAAAATTTAAGGATACTAGTGTTGGGATTTGGCATGAGAAGGGCCATGCGAAATTGCATGCATACTCTGTATTAAGTTCATTAACTATGTGACATGGTTTCAAAATTCAATACATCAATGCCCTGACATTGACAAATGCTGTTTCTGAATAATTAACAAAGCAGTCGAGTGGAAACAAACAACCAAAGATCTGAATAGTTGGAATCGGCCATCAGCTGCAGCGGGAAAGAAAAAGAAAAGAACTGCAGAAACAGAGTTAAGCTGTTTTGCCCATACCACAAACATCTGCATGGATCGTCAGTTCTCATAACCAAAAAAGTATACGTTTTACAGTATAGAGTTGTATGATCATCTACTAAACAATAGAAGAAGAAATCAAAACACAAAGGAAAACATGAAAAAAGGGGGGAGACAATCAGGAGTCGTCTTACTATCTCAGGGTCAGAAACTCATTGGTATCAACCCATCTGCAAACCACCAGTTGTGGCTTAAACGGAGTTAGAAAACCAATCAGAATTTCAAATCGATGTACAGCCTTGTTTTCAAGCTTGATGCCTCCAGAAAAATGAAATAGAAACTCAATTGAATTTACAATCAATATCCTCGTCCTTAACGAGACTATCTTCCAACTGGCGCACAAGATCAAGATCGATATCTCCATCACCATCACCGTCACCGGTGTCCATGTCCAAGTCCAAGTCCTCAACCTTGGCAAGATTGGCATCCGAGAGGTCCGCGGAGACATTCTCATTCTCCTTCTTTCTGGCCCTCTCCTCACGTGTAATATGGAGGAGATGTTCCAGGGCCTCCCTTGCCCGCTTTCTAGCAAGCGCCGCCTCCCTTACCTTCCTGTCAGCCTCGGTCCACGCTACGGTCAGGGCCTTCCCCATGGAGGAGGAGGCAATCTTGGCGGCACAGAGCAAGGCGAGAGCGAGCTTCTTGTCAATCTTATTGTCCTTGAGAGGAAAGAAAGAGAAAGAGGAGTCCTTGCAGGGTGGGCATAGGTAGGACGATAGCAAGTTGTCACCGGCGCAGTGAGAGTGGGTGAAGGAGGAGCAGTTGGAGCAGGCGATACGCTTGGAAGGGTGGGGAAGGGTGCCGCCGTAGAAGGCGAAGCAGGCAGGACAGAAGGAGCTTGGGTGGAGTCGGAGGACACAGGAGGTGCAGAGGCGGCGCTGGATGCCGAGAAGGCGAACCTGGTGGAGAAAGTAGGGCACGTGGACACCGCAGTTGCTGCATTCTTTGGATGGATTGCCCAGGGTTTGGCAGGTGAGTTTGGTGGTGGTGGTGGCGAGGTTCATGCTCATATTATTCCTACCTAGAGTCATAGTCATGGCCTCTGCCTTCTTCTGCCCTCTGGTCTCTGAGGTTTTACACCACCTCTTTTTCTTTATTGTTAGGGTTTATGAGAGGGCACCATACCCCAGCGGAACCGTAATTGTATATAATAAATGCACACACACACACATTTATATATATATATATATATATATATGGTAATACCGCAATTTGAGAGCATCGGTAGTAGATTTACGCATGCATACTAAACAAAGCACACCGACGTCGTATTTTCTATCAAACAAGCAACAACTTCATTAAAACTTTAAATCTCGTTTTAGTTTTTCCTGTACAAAGTCAAAACCAGAGGGAATCTGACTGCAACTGCAAACCAACCCTTGTGCACGTTTTGGTTGACACCAACCTCAATTCCTCACCATCGTCCCTGTCATTTCCGTTCTGTCCCTTTTTATTATTATTATCATTATTATTTATGTTAAACAGGAAAGCAAAAACAAATTTACAGTTGCTTGAGATGGAAGGAGACAAGCAAGTAACTAAACTAGCATCCCACGACCCAGATTTATATACATTTCTAAGCAAGTGTAGAGCTCTGAACCCCCAGTCTTTGATTTTCCATCATGAACATTGGCTTCTTGTTTCTACTGTAACAGCATTACATAAAGCAGGTGTCAAAAAACCAGATGCCATCTTATCCAAATATCCACCTATGTACATCAACAAGGTAGGAACAGGTAGTTTTAAGAACCATTGTTTTCATACTAATTATTGCCATGGTCATTAATCATAACCTTTCACTAGGAACCAACTGGAGTTAGAAGGACACCTAATAAAGAATAAATGACATAGAATAACTACCATTAGATACATCACTAACAATTGATCTCATTATTAATATTAACAGCACTGCTCCCTCCGTGTCTTTCAACTACTTCCAAAGACTTGTTAGATGTACAGAATCTGATGCACTTGATCCTTGATCTGATCCCTATAAAACAAAATGTATGTAAGAGGACAAGTTAGTTGAATAGCAATACCAACAAACCTTAAAAACAGGATAAAGCCAAAAGGTAATCTTTCAGTTATCAATGGCTATCAGCATCCACAGAATTCAGCTAACTCATCAAAAATATTCCCTATAGACAGCAATATGAGGAAAGCAAATCCTTGTACGTATACAGTTAAGTGATGACTGTGGATGATCTACCAACTGGTATGTGGAAACTCAACAAAAACTTATAGGGTCCCATGCAGTATAGACACAAGCATGTGCCATACAAACAGTAGGATACACTTATGGATACTGCAAGTAAATGCAAACAAAAAGCTACACACACAAGCTTGCTAAAGAAACATGCTCTCTGACCATGAAATCCAGTCTTAGATCCTATATGCCGAGGAATAATGCCATGCCACTAACTATTGATGTATTCCACTGATAAGTGGTGCAAGCTTTATATGAGAAAAAGCTCATACTTACAGTGTCCTCTACAAGAGCTCTTTGCATGTGGACTTGTTGTGCCCAAGACCCTTGCATCTACTGCACTGGAGTTGACGCTTCATTACCTCTTGTGATCCAACTTTCTTTGTAGTAGGTCGACCTGGTGGACGACGTGTTGGTGGAGGAATTACAGTCACTAGAGCTTGGGAAGAATCTTTCTGCAGAGCCCTGTCCACATCTGGAATGGGTTGTACTGACTCCGCATAGGTTAATCTGTAGCTTTCAGTTGTAAAGTATCTGGAGCAATAATCATATGGGCTTCGTCCAATGCAACTGATAACAGCAATAGCATGGCAGCATGGTAAACCAGTAAGTTGCCAACCTTTACAACTGCAATCCCAACGATCCATGTCAACCACTTCAACAGACTCACCACGAACCTCAAATATGCTGCCACTAGTCAGTAGCACTTGAAGGGGACGGACTTTCAAGCTCTCTTTTTCCAGCTTTTCCTCCATGGATGGAGTCAGCCTTGTCAACCACTGATCAGAATCAGCCCTCCGGGTATAAATTAACTCCATAATCTTTCCCCGTATGAGATCAACCATCTGTGTTATAGGTAATTCATGTGCATCCGATGCCCAACTATAAAAGAGTTCCCCAAAGTTTGATGTCATGTGGTTATATCTAGCACCCTGGAAAAAAGAATTTGCCCATTTCTGGGGCTCACTTTGTATGATCCAATTGTAAGCTTCCAGCGAAATACTTTTGATGCTCTCAATACTCCTCTGAAAGCCTTCAGGTCTAGGTGCTAAAGCTGCGGCATAAAGGTCTTCAATCATAAGCCGTTTCACCTCATGGGAAAACTGCCCTTTCAAGTCTCTAATGAGCTGCTCAGTTAAGTAGCGCAGACAATAACCATGATATGAACCCTTGAAAATCTCAGAGATAGATTCCCTTAAACCCTTCTGTCTGTCTGCAATAAATGTTATAGGACAAGATGTTGACAGAGCTGATTTCAGTTGTAACAAAAACCAATGCCAGTTATCATCGGTTTCTGCATCTACGACAGAAAAAGCAACAGGAAATACACTGTCATCCCCATCTGCAGCAGTTGCTGCCAACAATGTGCCTTGATATTTGGACTTCAAAGGTATGCTATCAAGAAAAAGGAGAGGCCTGCAACCTTGTACAAAACCGCACAAAGAGGCATGGAATGAGATAAAGAGGCGATGGAAACTTGAATCTTCCTTAGTGGTGAACGTAGCAAAACTGCCAGGATTGGTCTCCATTATCCTTTCACAGAAAAATGGTAACTGACTATATGCCTCCTTATACGAACCTTGAAGTTGCTCCTTGGCAATTTCTTTCCCACGCCAAGCCTGAAAGTAGTTCAGTTGTATCCCATATTCCTGTTTAATGTCATTGACGATATCCTTGGGTTTGTAATTTGGGAAAACTTTCAACTTCTCCTTAATTATACTAGCTACCCAACTCCTAGTTGCTTGATGCCCAGTTGTCACAACAGCCCCTTCACAAGTATGTGTTGGATTCATCTTCTTGATACATATTAGCTGGGTGGTTGACAACCTTGATGCATGAATTCTCCAAGGGCAGCCTTCTGCTTTGCACTTTACCGTCACACGATGGCTATCATTCTTTTTATACCTAAAAGCAAACTGATGTGCAATGGCATATTTACGTAATGACTCACGAAATTCATGAACACCACTGAATCTTTGCCCAACCCCTGTAATTGTATTCTGCCACTGCTGAGCGCCTTTAGCATGCTTCTCATTAACAGAAACAGCAAGAGGAAGCATAGAAGAAATCTCAGGTGGCAAATCAATGTGTGCATCGATATGATTGGTGTCAACAACATCAAGAGAGGCCCCGAGAGGAAGATTGGGTTGAGTGGTATCATCCACAATGTTGTCCACAACATCTAGAGGTGGATCAAGAGGAGGCACTGCTTCAGACAAAGTTGTCCTACTAGACCTGTAAAAGAAATAAAAAATTCTCAATATTATGTCAATAAATCAAGAATTGCAATCAAGCTTTAGCTTAAAAATGAAGAAAACTACCTACTGGCTGGCATGTTAGAAACATCAGGAGCAACAATTTCTTCCATTATGATGTAAACATCCGCAGTGACAGAATCCCCATGAAATTTTATCATCCGCTGTAAATCCTTATCGTTGGAGACAGTAATTAGAGTTTTCTTATTACCAGGGAGGAAGTATTTGATAGACATAGCATCAATGTTACAACTAAACATTTCTGCTACTTCCATCTTGAAGTCATTAAACTTCATTTGATCATCAATGTCTATTGCATGAGCATCCCCACCTCTATATGACAACGAGCCATCCTTGTCAGTCTCAAATTCACCACCAGATTGACAAATTGCTATGATCTTCTTTGTAGCCATGACCTGGCAATCATTTGAGAATTAATAAGTGCTTCTGGATAGTCCATAGAAACTAATCAAGTAGAGCGAAAAAGTTCAAATGATATACTTAGATGTGAAATAGAAAAAACAAGAAACATCTAGAATTCAGTGATCACATGCCGATCAACTAAGTAGAAGAGACAGAAAACAAAGACGAATTTGTATTATAATAGAAAAGAAGAAACTTTCACTGATATATTTTTGGCTTACTTGTTGTTTCCTATTCATACCACATTGAATCTATATGGATTTAAAAAGGCTACAATTGATCAGTGCGAAACATAGAAGTTGGAAAATATCAAATTTATAACTAGACCAACATACGTTGAAAACTCTGAGTCCAAAACGAGAAAAGAGAAATCCAAGATGGAGTGTTTTCCCCCTAAATTTCGAACCTTGATGCTAAGTTTTGTCAACAACCAAGCAGAGCGTCAAGTCATGAACTAACAGGACCAGAATTGCAAGAAAACAGAAAGGTATGAAATTGAGAGAAGTTGTAATCCAGCATTGGGGCAAAAAGTAAACCCGTACTTTTTTAAAAGGCACAGAATTCTGATGCATAAACGAACGAAGAAACCCTAACAAAAACGGTATGCAATTTGTCGCTGAGAAAAAAAAAAATAAAAAAGGACAGAGATGCGAAGGGCTTACCTTGAATTGTGAGGAATTGGAGCTAAGCGGAAGGGGGATAGGGTTCCCCAAATCCCCAGCTATTGGGGCTTTCTGCAAATGGAATCAACTGGGGACTCGCTCTCGTCGGTCTCACCATCAAGACAAAAATCACAGAGAGAGAGAGAGAGAGGGTGGGAAGAGAAGAGGGTAAAAAGGTAAATTCAGGAGAAGTGGTACGCTACATACTGGTTACTAGCATAACAATGACACACAACGTAAGGATGCGGTTGGTGAGTTGTATGCCACGTCAGCAATAATGGGGGGTCCCACTTGGGGGAAGAAGAAGAACAGAACAGAACAGAACTTTGGCTATCAACGAATCCAAAATCCAATCCAACCCCAACAACCACAAGTGTCAGAGAGAGAGAGATAGGTGTCGAAAATGTTTGTCTTTGTGTTAGTAAGTTCCCTCCTCTGCACAACTGCAAGCAGTGTGTGATCGGGGCATGAATCTTTTGTCTTTTATTCTTGGCAGGCAGGCGGGCAGCTCTTTATCCGCTTGATTTCAGTTCCGACGCTTGCTTTGTCTCTTCTCCGTCTGTCTAATGTCAGAACTTCTCATACTCGTGTCGCGCGTCCCACCGCTTCTTTTTCTGTTAAGATTTAAACATTACTCCCACATAAATCTGTCTTTGATTTCAGAA